ACCTTTTATAATTAATAATCTAAAAAATGACTGACGACGACTCTTCTAATTTTCACGAACAAATCGTATAAAACTCAGCTAAATAAAAACAGAAAATGCTAGCTAAGCAATAAAACATTATCTCACATATGGAGAAAAAAATGCAGCAAAAAATAATATGCTATTGGTCAACAGAATCCGTTGAGATTTTGGTACTTCCCTCACCAAAACACAACATAAAGTGCACAATTCACTTAATGCCAAAGAGTGGCATCTAATACAAATAGACTGTTTCATGTATACATACTTTTTAATTTTTTTTCTGATTTTAAATGTCTATTAACTTTGACAATACATGTATTGTCAAAGTTAACAGACATTTAAAATCAAAAAAAAAGTCTCTCTTGCATGGAAATTCGACTTTCTCATTACCTGGTACACGAACTTATGCACGCATTTCAAAAACAATGAAACATTTTGAAGAAAAATTTTCGCTGGCAAAGCTGTTCAGGACAATGCTCGTCATACCCTAAGCGGAGCATTTATTCATTTTAGTGGGAAAATTTTGAAATAAATGCAATTTACATAAATTTTAAGTAAAATTTAAAGCTAAAAATTTTCTATTTATAATCTATTTCAAAATTTTTCCACTAAAATGAAAAAAGTGCTCCGCTTAGGGTATGAATAGAACTATCCTGAACAACTTTGACAGCAAAAATTTTTCTTCAAAATGCTTTCTTGTTTTTGAAATGCGTGCATAAGTTTCAAAAAATTACTTTAAGGACTCAAACTGCACTATAACGAAAAATGTTAATTTTTTCAGACACCGTTGGTTCAATTTTCATTATAATTTGTGGGTATATGTCGCTTAAGGTTCTCGGCCGAACTGCGTGACAATAAGAGTTTCAGCTTCAATTTTGCATTTTTTATAAATTTTTTTAATTATTTTAAATATTAATTATTTTTTTGCTTATCGTGTTCCTACTGTAGACTAATTTCATGCAATGCGCACTCTACATCGTATTGATTTCAATCTAATAAAACAAAATTACTGCTAATTAACATAGGACTTATTGGCGAAATTGTTAACGATATGCTGTATAGAATGTAAAACTCGGCGTTTTCTTTTTAACTTTCTTCAAGAAAAATAACACTTGGATGTGTTTCTGTTCTTAAATTTGATTTAAAAAATCAGTGCACTTCAACAATGGTCAGTTTGAAACGGTAGAATTCTGCAAACATTTCCAAGATGGCGTGCCCTGTATCATTTGCCGAAACATCACTTGAAACATTTTTTCAAATTTATTCTTTCTCATAAGACGATATTACAAAAGACCGTTTAGGATTACTCACACAATTTAATGACAAGAAATCAAAAATTATTTTCCAGTTCTGAGAACGACTACGTTGGCAGACGTTGCTGTTGCTACTACGAAAAAATTATCGAATTCTCTTAAGGTTCTTAGTACCAGATTACACATTTAGGGTCACTGCCGTATATAAGACTGAATTTCTCGAGTCTCTTTTTAATCTTCAGTTTGAACTTCATAACAATTATGCATAGTACTTTGTTGCAAGGATTATTCAATAACAACTAAAGTCAAGATCTTTTATTCTCAATGTTACATGATTGAACGTGAACAATCTATATGAAAAGAAGTTGCACTCTCAAAAGATAAAGTATTTACATAACTATCACTTTTTTAGTGATAAAAAATATCATCTTTGCGTTGTAAATCCTAAAGCAGATCACAATAAAAATTGTTGCGTAGTCTTTATTTCTTCATATCGTTGACTAGATGCTGTTTCTCGTTTTCGTTGTTCTTGTCGTGTTTGTGTTTGTGGTATAACATCAGCATTTCGAGCATTATTGTCATCGAAGTTGAGAATGATCGTTTCTCCGAAGGTCAAAAATTCCCGTGTTTACGAATAAACTTGCAACTGCGTTCCATCACTTATCTATTGATTACTGAAATCTCAAGTCAAATATCTCTCTATAGCATAAAACTATTCGCATTTATCCTTTTCTCGTTTGTTCGATAGATTTGGTATGTGTCAAAATCACTACACCGTTGTATGACTTCAATATTGAATATCTCAGGAAAAAAGGGCCATGGGCGCGAATCCTTTTAGGTTTGTTCTAATCTAGTGGTACCCTCCATGACCCTAAAGTACGAGCTCTTAAGTCGTTAATCACATCGGGCGGTTCCCCCGTCAGACATGATCACCAACACATACTTCACTCTTTTTTTAAATATTGCTAGGGTTTATTTTGACGAGTTCGCCATTTGGCGCTGTCCGTCGTAAGAAAGGGGGTGCGGATACCTCACTCTTTCATCCTGCTGTTTCCTTCAAAATCGCTCACCTATACAAACGTTGAATGAAGTGACTGACTGATGAGACCCTTGGGAAAGGTCGAAACTAGTCGTGGCTATATGTCTTTTCATGATACTCACCCTCACCCTCAAATCCTCTTTCTTCTTGTATTTTTCGAAGAATATGAAGATGCGTATGTTCGTATCTACGGCAAAATGTGTATCGAAGATTTACAGAATCATATAGCTAAGGCAGCCACGTTTTGGCAATTGCGTTAGTGAAACAGATAGTGAGGATAAATAAAAGCTATCCAATAACACCCTTTGTGAAGTCGAAATGCGTCGGACTTCTATTTCATTCTCTAAATCTTCGGTACACATTTGTCATAGATACGAACAAACGCATTTTCAAATTCTTCGAATAAATGTGAGAGAAAAAAAGCACCTGCTGACTTGCTTCAAAGTAATATAATACAATTGGTGTGTTTCATTATCAATAAGCATTCGAAGCCGTTAACGACAATGGAAAGGTTCTTAACCATGTTGTTTTTTGTTGCACTTTCAGCTGCAATTGATATAGATTTTGGGAAAAGCTTTTTGAGAGAACAAGGTAAGTTCGCTTGTGTAGAAGTTAGTGCATGAACGAAGGAGTAGCGAAATGGAGACTCTGATGATGCTAATCATTTTCTTCCTATCTAAAAGAGATATGCGCTAGATTCTCAAGTATAAAAAGACCAATTTAAATTGATAGCGTTCATGGTTGCACCTCTACTAGAATTTTTAAATCTTTGACTAATGTTCTCGACAGAATGTAAGGTGATGATTTGCATACTTCTAAGAAGTGGAAAAAAGAGGACAAGAATTCCAACACTTGCTTGTTCCAGAATGTTTCCCTACTTCAATAGTTTGACCGACATAGTTTCATCTCGGCATCAGAAATTTGTTGAAAAAAATTTAAAGATTCTACTAGAAATACATACTTCTATTTACTTCCTTCAAAAGTTCTTTTTATAATAATTTAGATTGTCCGATATGTGAATTGGATGCTAACTTCAATTCCCAAACAAATTATTCATGCTTTACTATGGGACTTGCTGGAATGACAATATGTACATGCCCTGATGGGCAGTATACAATGAACTCACGATGCAGTAAGTATCGTAAAGTGTTCTGTGTCCAGTTGGTTAGGTAATGTCTTGCCAAGAGATTATCAAAGCTTCAATCTATTGGACACAGAAGTATTTTTAAATAGCATTCTCTATTTTGGAAGTAGAGGTTCAGACGTTTAGAGTAATCGAAAAACTCCTAATTTAAGTTTAACTTGGCTACAAAATCTAATTTAAAACAGCCAAAGTAAACAGCGAAGTGGAATCAGAACACTAAGAGTACCAAATTACCGGCTATTCGTCTTATGAAACACTTGTTTTAGAAAGAAGACGCCTAGCTGGAGCGAGTACTGAAAAGATAACGATCTTTTACACACTACAAGTCCTTATTGCCAAATGATTGCTAAAAACAAAGTTATAACACAATGAAGGTCGTTTGAATCCAGAGCTATCTTTATCATGGGTACAAATTAAATGGTCAGTATTTTTTTATTATGAATGATCAGTAAAATTTGATCAGTATTAAATGCAAATGATCAGTAAAAAAATTGAATTGTCAGTAAAATAATTGATGATCAGTGGCTATTGGATTTGGTCAGTAATTTAATCATTTTATCAGTAAAATAATGAACTTATCAGTATCTAAACTAAAATATGAGTAATTAAATATGTTTGGTCAGTGAATTATTGCATTTTTATCAGTATTCACCGTTCTAGAACGTCTCTCGATTATCGTTCTTGTCATTTTTTTCTCTTATTCAGTATTCTTCTTTTGTTCTACTATTGACTCATATATGTTTGAATTTTTCCTTTTCTGTTATCACACGTAGGTGGATTTTTCCTTTCTTTTATAACATATGTTCATATTTTCCCTTGACAAGTACTTTTCTTTCTCTCAGTGTTATTGTTCATATGTATTATATCTGATGGGATTTTCCCGATCGTTCAACCTCGATCATCCGTTGGATATTTCCTAAAGATGTGTGATGTCCCATCCTAAGTAAAGCTGATGATTTTGCATAAATAAACACAGTGAAATTGATGTTATGAAAAAAATGAAATGGTATTCGTTTGACCAGTACCAAACTAAAGTATTTAATATCTGGCATGTTACATGACTAATGGATGAAGCAAAATGGTTAGATGGCCAATGTAACTGTCCTGCATTTTTCAAAAGGTTTATCTGCAAACATGTCGTTAGATTGGCAATAAGATTAAATTATTGTAGACCACCACCTGCTGCGAAGAACATTAAAATTGGAGAAAAAAGACGTAGAGATCGACCTTCAAAGGCTAAAAAGGCATTATTTATTCAGTAAAATTTTGTTACTTGTAATAATTGTACTATTTTTCACTGATATAAATTGAAAATTAATTGATCAAAAATATATTATTCACTAACCAAAACTAATATATTTACAGATCATATTTTGATTTAATTACTGACATTCGAAATTATTTACTGCACAAAAACCATATATTTGCTGATCAAAAAATACTGATCATTTGATAAGAAAAATACTGATCATTTAAATGGCACCCCTTTATCATGCAAATATCGAATTGCTATTTTGAGGTTATTCGAGTCACTTGAAGGATGAGAACCATATGGCTCACAACTGTGGGTGCATCAGTGAAGGCCTTGTTCCTATGCAGACAGATACTCACAAACATCACTCAAACCCACCCCACGCCCTTAAAATGTATATGCTATCCGTCGAGAAAATTCCAATTTTCGATCAATAACTTGTTCGAATTTTTTCTGCCTGTATCTCTCGTCAAGCAGAAGCTTACCTGAATGGGATGCCCAAAAATACTCTTGAAATAATATTTTCTAGAATATTTTCGTTCGTGCTACTTAAATCTGAATGAATATTTTCAAAAAGAAAGAGTTAAATCGAGAAATGGCAAATTTACTACAAAGTCACATATTTTGACCTAAAGAAAATGACTTTTGTAATATTTTGGCGATTTCTTCAATATTTTACAACAACATTTACAGTTTTTCTGTTACCAAAATGATCAGTGGACAAATTTTTCCAGCCCTGTATATTTCATACAATTGGAGGACTGTTTTTGTAAAGCGTGAGAAGATTCTTGTGGAGATAGAATGTTTAGCTCCTTTTGAAAATAGATATGAAAGACTAGATAGTTTTTAGGATTGTGTGATAGATCACACACATGTGGTTCTAGTGATAATACTTATTGTTCGGAAAATCCAACTGGAAATCCACCTGGTTACGCATGTTTTTGTCCAGATAATCAATTTACATTTAATAAACCATGTTCTGGTAAAGTCAAATATTTGTCTTCTCTGTTTTATTCATTCCGGATAGTGAACACTTCTCTTTTTTATAGAACTTACCACAACAACTAAGAAAATGACAACCACAACTTCAAACGGACCTATTCTGACACCAAACGACTATTTATCCCCAATCAAAGCAATAATTAATGTGACAGAAAACGGAACGGTTGTAGAACGAAATCAAGATGCCACATATGGTCCTGGCGCTGGAGCTCGTGGTGCGATATTAAGATCTGTTGGTATCCATCGAGTGAGATTTCGTATTGAACGAATGTATTTAAGCAGAAGACTGTTTATTGGTGTTTATTCGCCCCATGCACTCACCCACCCTCTTTTCCCCAGTCAAACCTGCCGCTATGCCGACTATGATGAGATTGCAGCTTTACACTATGATGGAGGATGGAAGTGTTACACACAAGCATCCGGATGGTTCGCTAATGATTCAATTGCTGTGCGTGGCAATACTTATGACCATTCAAATCCAGCTGGACCGACGTATACCAGCAACTATGAACAATACTACATGACAAATGATGTTATAACTTTAACTATGAATTGTGAAGAAGGCACATTGACATTGAAGAATGAGCGTACCAATAAGGAATACCATATGTTTATTGATGATGTTCAAAATGATGTGGGTCGATTACCTTGGAAATTATATATTAATCTATACTATCCAGGTGACAAAATAAGACTTTTGTCATCGGAAGATGATTGAAATATTGATAGCAAGTGTAATACCTGACTTTTGTTTTGTGTAACTCATTCTTTGAATGTCTTTATTAAAAATAATTAAGATAATAAACTTTTGCTCACGAAAAACTGCTAGTTTTTCTTTTCGCAGTTCATTCAAATGTGACAGTCGTAGCAAAATGGCAAAAAATACGGAAGATAAACATGGTTCAATAATGCGAAGAGTGAGTATGATTGAAGAAGAAATCCTCATCCATACGCTAAAATTAGATCGATTTCATGTATAAAAGAAAACAGATCGAATGGGTACATATGGATCTCGATTTGGAATTGAATATCATCGATTGAGAAGTTGAATCTTGATCATAATTTTGTACAACTGAATGTCACCAGATCATTCCATGACTCATTTAACGCATCAATAAAGATTCGTCAAACGAATCAGCAATCTTTTGCACGAAGTCACATCGATGTCGGTCGAGTTTCGTGATTTAATTCATCGAATACGATTAAGCGACTTGTTTTATATTGACCGTTCCATAGTTATTAGACGATCTGTGTGCATTCATCTTCTCATCGTCCAGATACAAAGTAGTTCAATGTTGTTTGCAATCAATTGATAAAAATGTGGAAGCCGTCTGAATATCAATCTATCAAAAGCATTGATGACTGATGGCACATCAGTTTACCCTAAATGAACCGCGACTATGCGAAACTTGCATTGTGAGTGCCAGCCTTGCGAACCATTTCTAACGAATATATCATCTATCGAAGTCCATCATGGGTCTCTGTGCATGAGAATATAAATCTAGGGGGAAGGGAACAACAGACTTTAAGACTTAAAAATACTCGAAATAAATTCATAAAACTTCACTAGGCTTCAAGAAATTTCAACATAAAATCTGATACAAAGATAATTGAACGAATATCGATCCCTATTTCACTTCAACAGAAGAACGCTGAAAGAAAATACTTTTATCAAAAAAATTAAAGTTTTGAGGGTAAGGGTGTGAGGGTGAGGGTGGGGTGAGTTAGATATATTATTCGAAGAGAGAAGAGACTTGCTTTCATTTCATTTGTCCACGTAGCAATGTACGTCTGATTTACTTCATCAAATATCCACAGTGATATGCCCTGAATAGTGCGAAAGACCATTCTAGGAGAATTATTAAAGCAGAATAGGAATCGAACCTATATCTCCCGAAAACCGGTCGATTGTTCTACCGTTAAAATATCTGTTTTTCTTCCCTAGTCTTTAACCCTTTGAGTCCAACATTATTTCTGGTAAAAGCCCGGAAGGGGGTGATATCTATCGTGAAAAAACATGTGTAGCTTTTTTTCTACTATGGGACTCAAAGGATTAAAGAGACTACATATCGATTTGATGTTTTTTTCAAAATGTGCGACAGGACATAAGCAATCCAGTTAAGTTCTCTCTCTTATTGCTGTACGAGGCCTTTTTCCTTTTGGCTTCGCACCTCACTACACTGTAAAAAAAAGGGTCGCATAAGAAACTCCTACGGTTCTAGAATTCAACAATATACCCTTTGAGCGTTTGTCAGAGCGAAAGAAACGCTTTTTTCGTTTCTTTCAAAAGTCGTTTCGTATTACACAGTTTTTAGACGATAACATAGGGTTTCGAAGGAAAATTTTAGGGTTTTACGAAAATATTCATGCGCATGAGGGGTATCTGGATATCGATACTTGACGGAGCCTCTCAGCCAGACATACTGTGAGCGTTTTTTCTCCGATCACATACGGCTACTTTCCGCGATGAGTATTTTTTCTCCGGATGAGGGTATCTCTTCTGCTCCTCAGAGTTTTAATGATCGGAGGCTCATTCTTCTCTTTCATCCCATTTTCTAACCATGCAAGAAAAGAACAGTGTTTGTCTTACTCAATAAGACAACAGTCAGACTCAATAAGAACAGTGTTTCGACTGAAAACAGTGAAACGATTTTTGCAAGTTGCAGCCAAAGAGCTCCAGATAGAGAGCAAATCACACTGACGAGTATCTTGTTGTTACAAAACATAGAACTGCATTCTCGCTTCCAACAATACCGACATCTTCAGTGAATTAGGAAGTAAACCCTAGCCAGAAGAAGATGTGGGAACTTATATTGCTCGTACTGAGTTATAGTGAAGACTACTATCAGGCGATATGAAATAGAAATATGTAAATCTTCTCTTCTGATGCATCCCGACGAATCCTACGATGATCGTTCTTCTAAATCAGAAGCTTAGGTTTTAACGTAAGCAAACATTCCAACGGAATTCGCTGTATCCTTCATTTCTCTTGCTTCAGCTATCAACTTCATCAGTGAACAAGGAAGTGTAGAATATTTGTCGACGCCAATCAAAGTATTGTTCGAGGTTTCAGTTCGGTATTAATGAGCATTGAAATTGTATCGTCCAATGATTCGGTAAGTTCAATTTACTCTTAATTTTCAGTTGAGTCTTTCTTGCCTTCGTTTGTCTCCAATTTCGTCGCTTCCAATGTCATTCTTCGACGAAGCTGCAAGTTGAAATCTCTCTTACAACTTCGATAAACTTCACCCTTTTCGTTCACGGCTGACTCTATACGGATTTAGACTCCATCCTCCAGTCAACTGATGAGTTCGGAATTTTCCTCCACTGCAATCATTTCATTCTCTTTCTAACTTAGTTCCATTGCTGATTCGTACTTCATTTCTCAATCATTGAGCGAGTTCAATCTATGCTGCTTTCTGCTTTGTTCGATTCCTAGTCTTTTCTATCTTTTTAGTGTGGTCAAAATGCTGATTAGAACTCGATAAACACATCGGACGACGAGTTTCAATCTCTTGTTAGGAAGTAGTTAACCGAATCTCATATCAATAGTTGTCATCTTTCAATACACATATTCTCATCGTCACTCGATGGTTATTTTCCCTTTCTGCTCCTCTGATATATGTATTCACTCTTCTGCTTTTTATGATATATATTTTCTCTTTCTGTTCACTCTTTCCTATGGGTATTTTTCATTCCTATTTTTTTCTCTCTCTCTCTCTCTCTCTCTTGTACAATAGTTATTTTTCCCAGTTTCCCAAAGGGATCTTCCTGTAGCTAAAATATACTATATATAGATGTTAATTTACTGAAATAAAGTGTGAGTAACAGTTACATTCTTCTTCGGCTATCAACCATTGGATGCAAAACGATTCTGAAAGGAATAATCTCACACTCTTCATGGATGTCATTCACTAGTATTCGTCAAGTTTGGTTTGTTTCTGATGCTGAGACGAACTCCGTTTCGAGTTGAAGGGGTGAGTGTATATCTCATCGCTGTCTTCGCTAGAACTCGATCTTCTGCTTTCAGTCTACTTTCGATGCTTATCAAGACTCCAACAGCTAGTGGGACGGTGAGCTGCATCTCTCCACAGTTTCTCTCTATGGTTGATCTCTGTCAATATTTACTGCACCGTCCGATGTGATCGCGAGTTCACTACTCTGCTGAACTCAAATAATGACTTTTCACTTTGAAGTCTAACTTGACGTCGAAGTCTAAATAGAAAAAGAAAAAGAAAAGATCACGCGAGAAAACTACATTATACTGGAGAAACTAGGATTACTACGCGAGAAAACTAGGATTATACTGAAGAGAAATCAAATAACAACTTAACAACAATGTATGAAAATCTCAGCCGATGAATCGCCATCAAATCGTCGATTATTGCCGATTTTGATTACATGGGAACCCTTATGTTAGGCTCCGCCTAACTTGTTCGAATCTTCACTTGTAGGTACAACTGGTTTATTCAAAAGCCCCTCCTCTAGTATGTACGAACAAACAGTATATATAGAAGAAGAAAGAATGCTGACTCAACAAGAACTGAGTCAGCATTCCTTGTAGTCATGAGAAATGGAAACAAAAGCAGAAAGAGGAAGAAATGTCAGTGACGGCAGTGACGACTGACATAACACTCCCACCGTGGACTCGAGATGAGCCTCCTGGCTCATCTGAAAAAGAAGTGGCAACAAACAAAATGAAAAAAAACAACATCAGAAAAAAAAGAAGAAAACAAACAGGAAAACGAAACCAAGCTCTCGTAAGCCGGTAATAAGTGATTGCTCCCATACCCCATTTTTCGGAGTTGACCAGAAACGCGGACGCGTGCTCCAACATTTTGACCAACAGTGATTGTATCACAGAATTTGCCACATGGTCCTGTTGAGCAAGTGGTATTTCCGCGAGTTCCATTGTGCGTGTGTTAGGAGAAAATAACACGCCGGTTAGTTTTCTAATGCCACAGTAATAAGAATACCACATTTCACCACGAATATGCCACACTGCAAGAATAGTACGTCAACATACTCCATGATTAATGCCACAATAAAATGGAAACGCGCCGGCTAGCCATTGTGATATATATTGGATCAGATGGCAAGCGAGATGACCGAGTTTGGCTGCCAATGGTGGTGGCAGCGGAATCATGTGAATGGTAGCGCCGTTGTCTTGACTCTCGTCGGTTCGAGGATGTCGCTTATTGGTTCGTACATGTT